ACCAGGTATTCTCCAGGAGTTGTAATTCCATAATATGTCCATAACGAACAGTTCAGCAACGTGCAGACGTAAGGAAGACTCTCAAATTCCTCAGTAGATCTTCTTTTTATTATTCTCCAAAATGTTCCCCTGAAAATATTAACATATAATCATACATATATAATACATACGTACCCATGAGCGCAGGCTATAATGATTCCATGGTTAATACAAAGGCTTGCTTACACGGGAGATAGAAACACCAGCACTGAGATTATGTTGCCTGCGCCAAGCAAGGAGAGAAGAAAGGCACACATTAACTATATATATGATTATTATATGTATATGTATAAGTGTGAGTTCCTTACCTATTACCCCGACAAAGAAACTCAGCTCCTCCATTTTTTGATAGGAGAAAGAAATGAAGAAGATGAAATTGATTTCAAAGGGGAAACGGCTTTTTTGCAGTACTGGTTTTTGTAAGAGAGAGATATACAATACAGACAGCAGAAAGAAGGGACAGGAGATTAATAGTCAATACTTTTATTTTAAAAAATAAAATATAAGTATATATATATATATATATATATTTAAATTTGGTGTATCTACAGTTCGGAGGAGGTACACCATGTGTGAGTAATATTATATTATATTATATTTTTTCAACACATATAATATATATATATATATATATATGTGCACATATATTGTCGCGATCTCGATCAGTATATGTCTCTATGCTCCCTAAATTTTTTTTTTTTTTTTTTTTTTTTTTTCCAGATACATAATTAGTCATAGCCAAAAATATCGTGGACGGCATAAATATTTTAAATAATTAATTATTAACAATCAACTAATTATTTTCTAATGTAAATATACGATGTTGATTAACGGGCATTTCGTTGTTATTGTTCATATTAATTAATTAATTAATTTAATTATTTAGTAAACTAAAAATCCATGATAATCAGTTAATTACCACATATATATGTTCTTGTAAATATTCTTGTAAATCATCACGCACAAGAATATGGATCTCATCTTTATTGGATTAGAAAGAAAATCTGAATTTATTTAATTAATTAACACTGTAAGAAAAATGAAATATAATTAAATTTTTTTATTTGTATATATGTATATATCCATTTTTTTTTATACTATAATTTTTTTCTTCAATAAATCCAATATAGAATAATTAATTGAAGAATTATTATTTTTCTTTTTTTCAGTATGTAGGGAATCAGCAAGTTTCTTTCTACAATTTACTAATAAAATAATTTATAAATTTTTTTAGCTATATGAACTCAGAATTCACGCATGTCAAATATAAATAATATTATATTCATAATTTATAATTTTTTGGTCTCCATTACACACCATGAAAAGTCAAAGAAAAAAAGCTCGTGGATCGGAAAAAAAAAAAATGGTGTGATTAAGAGAACACAATGGAAGAAGAATGAAGAACGGCCATTGAAGAAGAGTGTTTGGTTAATTAGGGAGAAGAAAAATGAAAAGTGGAGTATTACAAAAAATGGGGAAAGTGCACTTTTCATTAATTGAGAGAATGGAATATATATATATATATATATAACATGTTCATGTTTGTATAGATATTTACAAAGCTTGTACCAAGTAATTAAGTAAATTAAACTAATACTCGACATATTAATTAATTGTAAATATTAAACTCCTATAAGGAGCTAGAGAAGAAGTTGTGGCATGTAATTGAAGAGGGTAAACTAAAAAGACGGTAGAAATTAATGTATACATACAACTAATGAAAACATAATATTTTTAAGGTAGGCTCGTTGAATATATATCATGAGTATATAATTATAATTATAGTAATTAATTATTAGTATTGGTTGAAGAGTATACAAGTAGAGGCTCTTGTTGCCACCCTTCTTCAATTCCTGCTATATATGATGCCTTCCCATTTCTATACACTGCATATAGAAGTAGCTGAGCTATTCCAAGTATAAATCCAGCTCCATTTGGTACCTAAATTACCCATCAAGATTATATATATATATTTATAGAGATATTTAATTTTTATCACACATTACTAAATTTATTAATAAATAAAATATGAAATTTATTAATGAAAGAGAGTACTTACAAATAGGAAATAATCGTGTAGGAGAAACGCATAGATTGCCCAAATCCCACCATTGAGGAAGAGGAACAAGGAGAGGAAGAACGGCATGTATTCAACGCTCTTTGTAATCATCACTGTTTTCTGAAATTAACCATATATATATATATATATAATAGATTGTTATTTAAATAAAAATAAATTTTATTAAAAATCAAACCCGATTAAATTTAATACTGATTAATCTAGTTAAATAGTAAATATATCAAAATCGATAATAAATAGTATATGAATATATTTAGGGTGGAGTCAAACAATTGAACGGTGAGGATCAGGGTACTAGGATGATGGCTAGCATTTAGTTTGGGTGGGGGGGTATTATAAAGGGGTACGTTGACGAAAAAAGAAAGAAAAGAAAGGGAGGAAAAGAGAGAGACCAGACGAAAGAGAGGAAGAGGGATTTAGAATATGTTTGAATGGTGGTTCAATAATAATGGTATGATTTTTTCATGATTTTTTTTCTGTTTGTTTGCACTTCCAAACACATAATATAGTTTTTTACTGGTTGAGTCATTATTCTTAAGACCGTGTAATACTCAAGCCCAGAATTTAGTCCGATATCAATTTTGACATTCTAAAATATATAAAAAAATAACTTATTTTAATTTTTGTTGAATTTATGGAAAAAATAGGTTAGGGATGAAATCAAAAATAATTTTGAAAAAAAATAGTAAACATTTGTGTTCGAGGAATGTTTTTGAAAGAAAAATTAGAAATTGGGGGGCATAGTGCAAATAGAAAAAATTGTACCACGTAGGACCGTCCAGTCAGCAACCTTGACGAACCGGAGCATGCTGCGTGGCAAGGCAGTCTGACATCGGTGCCACATGGACGATCCATGTGTCCTACGATCGAACGACCCATGATCGATCCCGCTCCTGTGGACAGCCAGGATTTTTTCTTTCTTTAAACACGATCGGACAGTCGAGATCAAATCGCAATGGACGGTCCAGATTTATTTTCTCTTTAAATGCGATCGGACGGTCAAGATCAAATCGCGATAGACAGTTCAGATTTATTTCCTCCTTATGCGAGATCGGACGGACAAGATTGATCGCAATGGATGGTCCAGATCAAAATGGGATGGGTATAAATACCTCGTATCACATGGGAACCCAAACCCTAGCCGCCAGCCCCCGCAGGAGAAAAAAAACCAGACACTAGAGAAGGAGGCTGACTGCTAATCCCTGCCGCTGGAGCCACCGCCGACCATCAAAAGAGGTAAAAAATTTCTCTTACCTGCTCGCAATTTGATTTCAAGCACCTCTATGGCCAAATCGGAGCAAAATGGACGGCAGGTGAGCCAAAAATCGCGGGCGAAACTCGACGAAACTGCCGCGGCCTAAGTCCCAAAACTCCCCCGATGAGCCCCTTCCCAATTCCCATTTCACGTAATTTTTTTTATCATTGTGTTCACCGTCATTTTCTGTGCAGGTTGATTGAAAAAAGAATCTCAACCGCGAAGGAGAACCGGCGGAGTCACCGTACCCAGAGGTCCCTCCCGCCGGTGAGTTCATTTTTTTGTGGTTTTTCGACCAACCGAGGCTGTTGTCAGTTGCTTTTCTGCAGGGATACGGCCAAAACTACCCAAAACTGGCTAAAACCGGCTAGGCCAAGGCAAACCACCACCATGGGCGGCAGAGCTAATGCCGAAGCATAGCAGCACCGCTATGCCGGAACCCCAAAATTGACCAGAATGAGTTTTGCACACTGATTTTAAATTTTTAGGTACATGAAAAGTGTTTTGGATTCTGCAGGGATAATTCAAGAAACTTGGTACTCGTTGAGAAGCATAGTAGGCAGCACAACATCTCAAAACACTAATCCAGGTAAGGATTCTTTTCTCTATTACGGAAAATTGTTATGGAAAATTGATGCTTAACAATTAATAATTGTGTGTTTTTATAAAAAAAATTAGAGAACCCTAAAAATAATTACAGGTCACTAGTGAAGGCGAAACTGATTAGTTCACGGTCGTTTCGATTTTCTGTTTATTTTCTTGTATTGCCTATATTTGTTTACTATTATACGGTGCGTAACTGAATTGATAGTTTTAGAGTCTTTTTGGTTATTTGGTTATTTATTTTTCCTGCATTGTTTGTCGGTATTCTACTCATTGGTTATTTGGCTGTGTTAAACTATATTGTTGTTTAAGTGAACTGTGAGTATAAAATGAGATATGGTTATTGTGTGGTTGATTGTTATACTGATGAAAACCTATATGGAAAAGACTTACTAGGTACTCGAAAAAGGGTGGACAGACCCAGTACATAGGGAACCCTACCATAAACATTATTTCAGTCGCATGGGGCTGGAAAGTCCCTTACCAGTAAGGTTTGGGAGATATGGGTCATCCTCATACCAGATGGAATATCGAGGTGGTGAAATATTTGGCACCTATTATCGGACGGGGTATGGAGACGATCGGTTAATTGTTTAATTGGATATTAGGTTCACGAGTAGGAGGACATCTCTATGGACCATCAGGAGTACCGGTAAGCGGTTAAAAATATAAAATGATCATTTCTTGTTATCTTATATATGATAATAAAAAGTGTATGGATATGAGTTTTCATAAGTTATTTTTGAAAAGATTTATTACATTAAATTAAGGGCTCCATTGGTTGTTTTTATTAACCATTTTTAGTATCAATTTTCTATATCTGTTATTAGCGTGATATTCTTACTGGGCTAATGTACCTCACCTGTTCATTAACTATTTCAGATTAAGAGGACCAAAATTCATATTCCAATCAAGGGTTGTTAATAGTTCACCACCTAGACTTCCTTCAAAAACTAGTGAATGTCATCCTATGATGTTTATTTATTTACTTTTTATTTATTTCTTTGATTTCTATTTATTCTTTTAGAATGAACATTCTCGTAGCCCTATTGGGCATTTTAAATTGTTGTGCAAGGAATGTAAATCCTAACTCTATTATTTCGCTTCCGTATTTAATTTATAACTTTATTTCCATTTAAGTGTCGGAGCTTTACACCATGATTTTTCTCATTTTTTCAAACCACCGATTTAATAGTTTTATGATGGTTCAATAATTTTTTTCCTTTATACCCTAATATTTTTTATTATTTATAAAATTACCCTTCATTTTAAATCATTCTACCTGACACATTTCACTCTTTTTCTTCTTACTTCTCTAGGGTTTATTATTATTATTCTTCTATCCGACACTGATTCAAGAAGAGTTGCACATCTCGAGTTGCAAATAGTGGTCATCTCCAGTTTCTCTTGTTCGACCAGGTAACCATACATTGAGTTGGTAATGAAAATAGTTTGATTTCTCTCTTGATTTCTCTTTTCTTTTTCCCCTCATGGTTCTCGTTCTCTTAATTTTTCTGATTTTGT